GCCCATGGCTTCAATGCGCATCGAACTATATTTTTGGCTTGACCAGGTTTATGACAAACGTCTTACTTCTTGAGAGCGATTGATTGCTGTCGTGTACATTTTGTACTCAATATTGCGTTTTCAGCAACATATATATATATATATAATATATATATATATAATATATATATATGTGTGTGTGTGTGGTGTGTGTGTGGTGTGTGTGTGTGTGTTTGTGTGTGTGTGTGTGTGTGCGTGTGTGTGTGTGTGTGTGTGCGTGTGTGTATGTGCGTGTGTGTGTGCATACGTCCTCAATCGCAAAGAGGGTGGTCGTCTACACAGTTAAGTGTACAGAAAGAGGGTGGTCGTCTACACAGTTAAGTGTACAGAAAGAGGGTGGTCGTCTACACAGTTAAGCGTACAGAAAGAGGGTGGTCGTCTACACAGTTAAGTGTACAGAAAGAGGGTGGTCGTCTACACAGTTAAGTGTACAGAAAGAGGGTGGTCGTCTACACAGTTAAGTGTACAGAAGAGGGTGGTCGTCTACACAGTTAAGTGTACAGAAAGAGGGTGGTCGTCTACACAGTTAAGTGTACAGAAAGAGGGTGGTCGTCTACACAGTTAAGTGTACAGAAAGAGTGGTGGTCGTCTACACGTTAAGTGTAAGAAAGTAGGGTGGTCGTCTACACGTTAAGTGTAAGCCTACTTGCACCGGGCTGGGCACGAGTTTTTCAGCTTTATTCCAGAATCATTCATGCTCAGTACCATACTGACGGTCAACATGAGAGCACACCATCTCGGCTCCACTTATCGATTCTTGCTGCCGAAATTGAATGTTTAAAGGGGTAGTTTCTGAGCAATGGCTTTTCTTGAAGACCATCCATAACTCATTTTGAGATCCCCGGTTCTAGGCATCTTTCCCCGTCCATGCCCTCCGGCGTTCCGAAAGTCAAAAAAACATTTTGACTCCATTTAGCACAAAACAATATCACTTCATGAAGTTCCTCGGAATTGTGACAACATGAAGCATATCTGTATATTTAGGGTCAGGTCGTTTGTCATTGCATACGCTTCTGTGCAATTTTCGTTGTGTTTTTGTAGTTTGTTGTGATAAACCATCATGGTGTACACTAAATGTGTGCATTTTTGCCTGACGATGCAGCCGCTGTTAGCTGGGCAAAGCGCCGCCAACGTCATTTTATGTCTCGCCATTTTAGATGTAGCATATCATATATTCCGCGGTAGACTGACCGCTCGTTTTACTGATAACGTGTAAAGATATAGGAAAATAAATACGTCACGCAGCCTGAGAAATCAAATAGCAAAGATACGCCGGTCCTTAATTGGTCATTAGCATGCGTTCGTCTGTCACGACATGCATTCATGACAGCTGCCTTGACAGGTAACGTGTGGGCATGCAGCCATGCTTTGAAACAGGCAGCAGTGCAGCACGTTTTGCAATACCTTTAATGCATTCGGTGTCACACTTCGGCTTTAGCTGGTGGGGTACAATGCCCTTCAGTTGCATCCTGTTTGCAAATACACGTACTGTTGGATGGACCCGTTATGCAACATGGTGCGCAGCAGTCATCTACTGCGATTCGGGGTCTATTTTCCTTGTCGAACAAAGACAACAGGCAGGCTTTGACTTCAACTTCTTGTGGCTGTACTTCCTGCACACGGATATGTACACCACGGAATCGACCGTACGACTGATCTTCCTGTATCAAATTCGATAGATCATTTCTCTTGATATCCGCAGTTCTGCGGTGCTCTATAGCCTCAGTCAGGCTACCACACGTACCAAGGCATGCCGCTGGTTTCCGGAGTTTACCGATGATTCTGGCTGTCGTAAGGTGGCTACTGAACTAACGAAACCTTAGCTTCTGAAACTAACGAAACCTTGGCTACTGAACTGACGAAAAACGAACGCCCTCAATCTAAACAGCTAAATGAGAGAGGAGGTTTGCGTTTGGCACGCGCCCAGATCTGCCGCCACTGGTTTTGAACGCCCGGTCCTGTGCTAGCTGTTTGTAGTGCG